GTCCTCCGTCTCGGGCACCAGCGGGATGGCCAGGCTGGCCTTCGCCTGCAGCGCCTGGTCTCGCTCCTCCTCCTCCTGGATGGCCTTTTTCTTTTCCTGCGGGGGCAGCAAGGGGTGGGGGGTCACAGCGCCGCCTCGCGCGGCCCGGAGGGCATCACCCCAGCTCCTGGGGCTCGGCCTCCTCCTCCAGCGCAGGTGAGGGAAGAGCCTCACGTGGCGCCAGGGCGCCTAAGTCGCCCACAAGCGAGGAGCAACGTCATTCACACACATACTCTTCACACACATACTCTGCCGGGGAGACGGCTGGCTTTGTCCCCAGGCTGGAGTGCAGTGGCCCGATCACAGCTCACTGTAGCCTCAGATTCCTGGGCTCAGGGGATCCTCCCACCTCAGCCTCCTGAATAGCTGGGACTACAGGTGTGCGCCCCCATGCCCTGCTAATTAAAAACGTAGAGACAGGGGTCTTGCTATGTTGCCTGGGCTGGTCTTGAACTTCTGGGCTCAAGTGATTCTCGTCTTAGCCTTCCAAAGTGCCGGGATTACAGGTGGGAGCCACTACCTCTGGCCTCCTCCCAGAAATATTTATGGGCCGCCCACCTTGAACCAGGCTTTGTTTGATACACCGGGGACACAGCAGTGAGCAGACAGAAGCCCTTGCCCTTGTGGAACCGACATTCTAGTGGGTGAGACAAAGTGGTAAGAAGAAAAAGAACGAGGGCAGGGGGTGAGGCGTGGTGGCAGGAAGGCCAGGGAAGGTCTCCCCAAGAAATTCACGTTTAAGAAAGATGTCTGAGTGAGGGAGCCATGTGGGCATCGGCAGGAAAAGTGTTTGAAGGCAGAAGGGTGCTTGGAGTGACTGAGGGATTGTGAGGAGGCCTGTGTGGCCGGAGCAGAGTGAGGGGAGATGGAGGGAGATGGGAGGAGGAAGGGTAGACCTTCGTGGCCTGGTGGGCCTCAGGAGGGCTTCGGCTCCTACTGGAGTCAGGTGGTAACCCAGGGGTGTTCTGAGCACAGCCAGGTGAGCTCTGATGCAGGTGCTTGCAGGCACCCCCTGGCGGCTGTGGAGAGAACAGGCCAGGATGCCGGTGCGGCTGGGCCAGGCGGGACCATGGCAGGCAAGGACAGTGGTGGAGGCCAACTTCAGGCTTTGGGGCCTGAGCTGCTTCAGGAGAAGGCGAGGGTGCAGGCGGAGCGGGTTAAGGGCTGGTCGGGGCTCTGTGCGATGTTAATCTGGGGGGGCCGGGTGTGGTGGTGTGCTTCTATAGTCCCAGTTACTTGGGAGGCCGAGGCTGGAGGATTGCTCGAGGCCAGAAGTTCAAGACCAGCCTGGACATCATAGTGAGACACCACCTCTATAAAAGATAAAAATAAATTAGGCCAGGTGTGGCGGTACCTGTAGTCCCAGCTCTGGGGAGGCCCAGGCAGGAGGATCACTTGAGCCCAGGAGGTAGGAGGCTGCAGTGAGCTACGATCATGCCACTGCAGCCTGGGCAACACAGCACAGGGCAGAGGTCAGACTAAAGGGATACCCTTTCAATAAGAATAGTAAGAAAACTGGCAGTTTTGCTCCAACTAACCATGACCCCAGAATGGTCAGAAAAGGAGACACAAAAAAGCAGGAAGGTGAGGCCAGAGCTTGTGCCTTGTGGGAGACCCGGGACGCTCCTGCCGGGAATCTGTGCATGGCGTCCAGGGACATCAGCACCCTGGAGCACGAGGGAAGAGGGAGAAGGTTCTAGCGGCCTACAGAACTTGGCAGTGCTGCTACTGCTGCAGCCAGACGCTCTCAAAGGGGAGAAGCCCTTTTGTAGGCCTGACTCATGCTGACATTGCTCTGTCAAGCGTCTCTGGCTTCATGTGAGTGGCCCCCGCGGTCACTGACAGGCAAGCCTGGTGTCTTCCTCCTGGTGGGGCGTGGCCCTCGTGGGAGGGGGTGCTGAGGGCTGGCTCCTCATACGTGGGCCTTCATTTGAGTCGGGGTCTCTCTCTGCCACCCAAGTTGGAGTGCAGGGTCACTGACATCCATGCCCAGTGTCCTCCTCCTGGCAGAGAGTGGTCTTCACGGTCACTGACGGCCATGCCTGGTGTCCCCCTCCTGGTGGGGAATGATCCTCACAGTCACTGATGATCGTGCTTGGGTGTCCTCCCCCGGTGGAGAGTGGCCCTCATGGTCTGGTGGCCATACCCAGTGTCCTCCTCCCGGCAGGTGTGGTCTTCATGGTCACTGACAGCCATGCCCGGTGACCTCCTCCCGGTGACAGGAGCTGGCGTTGCCCTGCATTCTCAGGGACTCCATGCAGGTCTAGGTGTCACCCCCACACCCTCCCGTTGGAAAGAGTGTCCTCTCTGACTAGAGACAGCTTTCCCCTTTTCCTGTCACATCGTCCAGGGATGACGTGGGAGCAGTGGACAACGTGCAGATGTAACTCCAGGAGGGTTGAGTGGGCTCATGATGTATGTTAGGAGCTGATCGCCTCATGACTGCTCTGCTGGGCACAGGGCGGGGCGAGGGTGACCCCTGGTCTTTGGGAGTCTGAAGATGAAGGCCCGTCTCCCTAGGGTGGGTGCTTCGCACTTCAAATTGCCACCGGGTAGGCCCTCCCCAGCACGGAGCGGCAAGACAAGCCATGGTCTGCATGTTTATGTACCCCCCAGAGTCTTATGTTGAAACTTAATCTTTAGCATGGTGGTATTAGGAGGCGAGGCTGGCTGGGCATGGTGGCTCAAGCCTGCAATCCCAGTACTTTGGAAGGCCAAGGTGGAAAGACTGCTTGAGCCCGGGAGTTTGAGCCAGCCTGGGCAACATAGTGAGATCTCATCTCTACAGAAAATTAAAAAATTAGCCAGGCGTGGTACGTGTCTGTCGTCCCAGCTACTGGTGAGGCGGAGGCGAGAGGATCACTTGAGCCCAGGAAGTGGAGGCTGTAGTGACCTGTGATCCTGCACTCCAACTTGGGCGGCAGAGAGAGAACTTGACTCAGAAAAAAGGAGGCGAGGCCTTTGGGGAAGTAATTAAGTTGGGAGGGCTCTGCCCTCATGCATGGGATTAGTACCCTTATAAATGAGGCCCAGGGGCCCTGTGGGCCCTCCCACCACGTGAGGCCACCGTGAGAAGGCCCACCTATGAGGAGCCGGCCCGGGGACTGCCCGCCCCAGAATGTGAGCGATGCATTTCTGCTCTGAGGGCATGACCCAGTTGGAGATGCCTTTGCTACTGGGGCCTGAGTGGACTAAGACAGGGCGCGTAGCTGTGGCTGGTGGGGAAATTGAGGTGCGGCGACCCATGCACAGCTGGGCCGTGGGGCGAGGCTGGCCTCCCGTCCACTCACCCGGAACCTCCGCCGCAGCATGCTGTTGAGCGCGAAGTCGTCCTTCCAGGCGCTCTGCGCCTCCTGGATGTGGCTGAGCGTGGGCAGCGCCTTCCGGAGCGCGCTGCGGTCCGCCTCGCCGTGCTCCAGCCGAAACATGGCATCCGTCTCTAGCTTCTGCTTCTTCTCGTGCTCTGCAAGGACCAGAGCCCAGTTGGGCGCCCGGGGGCCGCGGCGGACAGGGGCCGGGCCGGCGGACCGGCGGGCCAGCGGGCGCGTGGGCGGCCTCACCTGTGGTCAGCACCTGCTCGTTGGCTGCCATGTCCCAGCGCTCCTCCTTGCGCTGGGCGCCGCTCACGATCACGTAGTCGCAGTTGGCGGGGTCCGTCTGCATCTCGATGTAGTTGACGCACAGGTGGCATTTCATCCGGAACCTGAGGGGGCGGGGGTCAGGATGCGGGGCGCCAGGACCGTCGCCTCTGCCCCTTCCCTCTACCCCCTCGGAGTTCACCAGGCACTTCCTGCCAAGTGCAGCTGTGGGCACGTGGACATGTGCTGACCAGGACTGACGCTGGCAGGGGGCCTGGGGCTGGCTTTGTTCGTTTGTCTGTTCATTCATTCATCCATCCATGTTAGTGCATTCATTCCTTTGTTCATTCATTCATTCACCATTTGTTCATTCATCTGCTGGTTCATTCATTCTACAAACCACCTAGATAGGCTGCTCTGTGGCAGGATTGTGCTAGCTGCCGGGTCACCCCGGGGAAGTGGAGCAAGCCGACCAGCTCTTGGGGAGGCTGACATCCAAGCAGGGGTCCCCACCACAGCAGGGGACAGGCGACCACACAATGAAGGGCAGTGGGTGCAGTGCAGGAAAGGTCTCTCTGAGGGTGTCTGAGCAGAAACCCTGGGTGAGGGAGGGGCCTCGGCACAGAGGTGGTGTATCCCTACTGTGTGTGAGGGACAGCTAGGAGGCTGTGTGGCCAGAGCAGTGCGAGGAGGGAGAGAGTGGAAGGAGGGGAAGGTGGGGCAGGGCCGGTTGGGCGCATGGGGCCTTGTGGGCCAGTGGGAGGCTGTGGGCTTTTAGGGAGGAAGGTGGGAGGCATGGAGGGTACTAGACAGATGCTTTTGCGGTCCTCAACCCAAGGCCACCCCACCCGAGATGCCGCCAGGTCCCTCACCTGTAGATCGGAGTCGTGTAGTAGTTGCCAACCTTCTTCTTTTCTGCGTTGTAACGAACACCTGGGGGAGGGGAAAGGAGAGAGCGGGGGCTCAGGCCCAGGCCACACCAGCATCGTTTCTCTGGCGGGGGGGCAGGAGGGGGCTGGTATCTCGTCCCATAGGAGTTTTACAGATGGGTAAACTGAGGCACACAGAGGCCCAGCGTTGCCTGTGGAGGTCGCCCAGCTAGGAAGAGGCAGAGGCGGAATGGGAACCCAGAGCCCGGCTTCCTCATCGCTCTGCAAAGAGGCTTCCGCAGCCTGCTAGCACCTTGGGCACCTGTCTCCCCAGCCGATCCTGATGGGGGCAACTCCCTCCCCCGCACCCCGCGCCCCGCAGCTCAGGGCCCGCCTGCCACTCTGCAGGGCAGGGCAGGTGGCAGCTCACCCATGCCGATGTGGTTCTTGCAGCCATCACACCAGATGTTATACGGCATCTCGAACCTGCCAGACAGACCGCAGCTCATTTACACCTGTCCTCCAGGGCGCCCCGGGCCGCCCCAGCCTCCCGCTGAGGTTGTGCTTCGAGGGGTGGCTTTTCTTTTGGAGCCAGGGTCTCACTCTGTCGCCCAGACTGGAGACTCTTTTGGCATGGAGGCAGGGAGTCCTCAGGCCGTGCCTGGGCCTTACCGGATGATGAGGATGCCTTGGGACAGCTTCCGAGCCCGCTCCCGGAGGGGGTGGCTGTTGTGGAACCGGTTGAGGGAGCCATGCTGCGTGGACAGGACGAGGGAGATTAGCCAGGCCGGCCAGGGCGGCGTGGGCTCTCCGTGGCCCCCTGCTGTGGGATGGGGGCTCATGGGTGGGGACAGGCCTCGCTCTGGTATTCCCAGAGTGGGTGTTCAGAGCAGCACGGGAGGCACCGAGGTCTTGGGGAAGCGTGTGGACTTGAAGTCAGGAGTAGGTGAGCATGGAGGGTCCCTCTCCCATTTATGAGTTGAAGGAGTCACATGACCCTGGACAAGGGATCTCACTTTTTGCCTTCCGGAGCCTCAGTTTCCCCTATCTGTCAGCTGGAGGTAAGGGAAGGACTGCATGAGATGCTAATACTGGCCAACGTTCACTGCATACTTGATGTGAATCACCTCATTTTTTTTTCTCTTTGAGTTGGAGTCTCACTCTGTCACCCAGGCTGAAGTGCAGTGGCACGATCACAGGTCACTGCAGCCTCGACCTCCTGGGCTCAGGACATCCTGCGACCTCAGCCTCCTGAGTGGCTGGGACTACAGGTACACGCCACCATGCCCAGCTAGCTGTTTTTAGGTTTTTTGTAGAGATGAGGTCTTGCTATGTCGCCTAGGCTGGTCTCAAACTCCTGAGCTCAAGCAGTCTTCCTGCCTTGGCCTCTCAAAGTGCTAGGATTACAGGTGTGAGCCACCATGCCTGGCTCGGGTCACCTCATTTTAATCCCTCAACAAATCTGTGATGTCAGGTTGCTTTATTTCCCTTTTTGACACATGGGGAAATGTCATCATAAACAGGTTGAGGCCTGTGCTCAGGACCACACAGCTGGGACACTTGGGTCCTTACCGAGCACCTGCTGTGTGGAGACGCAGCCATGAACAAGACAGATGAACATCCCTGCCCTCATGGGGTGGACATTCTAGTGGGAGAAGACAGATATTACACAAGTATGTCAGGGAGTTGCAAGGGCTAGGAAGATAAAAAAAGCCCCCAGAGGATGAAACTGGTAAGGGAGGACCTGTGAGAAAAGACCTAAAGGAAGTGAAAGAGTAGTTAGAAGGAGGGAGACAGCCAGGAGCTGGGAGAGCCAGGTTGTGTGGCCCCAAGTCCATGTGCTTGGCCTCATTCTGAGACCCTCTACAAGCACAGCAAGCCCAGTGCTGGGCACAGTTAAGGGACACTGAGGAAAGCCACAGTTACTACCCAGAAGTGAAGACAGCCCTGAGACCCATGACAAGCAAAAGGCAGAAAGATCCCAGGGGCCGCCCATCCTTCCACAGCTGTGGCTCCGACTCCAGAAGGGGATGACACCCGTCTCCGGGCTACCATGGACCTGGGAAGGGAGCCCGGCCCTTACCTTTTCAGGGTTGAAATCCGGGGGGTAGTACTTGTTGACACCTTTCCTTTCACCCTGGAGAGAAGAGAGATGCGTGTCAGGGGAGGCCCAGGACACCTATGTGTGCAGGTTGGGGGCGGGCCCTGGATGAGGGAGGGAGCTGCAGGGACACTCTAGAGGACAGTGCTGCATTCACTGCCTCCCTGGGGACTGGTCACTTGAGCAAAAAACCCACTGTCGTTGCTCTGAAAAATTCCATGAGGTCAGATTCTCCTACTGCAGTGATTTTCGTATTTTGGGGGGACTGTGACCGACAGGGAGAAATATTTCACACCGCCACTGCGCCAACATGTGTCATACAGCTGAACACAGGTCTCATGAAAGAAAACAGAGCCTGCGAGTCTCTTCTTTTTTTTTCTTGCTGAGTCAGGGTCTCACTCTGTCACCCAGGCTGGAGTGCAGTGGCATGATCACAGCTCACTGCAGCCTCGACCTCCTGGGTTCATGCGATTCTTCCCCTCAGTCTTCCAAGTAGCTGAGAACGCAGGAGAGCGCCACCACACCCGGCTACATTTTTTATTCTTTTACAGATGAGGTCTCATGGTGTTGTCCAGGCTGGTCTCAAATTTCTGACCTCAAGAAATCCTCCTGCCTTAGCCTCCCAGAGTGCTGGGATTACAAGTGTGAGCCACTGCAAGTTGTTCTTTTCAAATACTGGTGACCACCCACTGAATTGACTTAGAGACCAAAGCAGTGATTCTCAAACATGGCCAGGTGTTACAACTACTTGGTGAGTTTCTAAAATAGCAGTGCCTGGGCCTCACCTGCAGAGGCTCTCTGGACATCAGAGGACCTACCCTGGGGAGTGGCGCCTGGACACTGGCTCTTAAAAAAGCTCCCTGGAAAACAGTCAAATAAATCCTAGTACACGGATGTTCACAGCAGCACCATTCAAAGCCATCTGCAAGTGGACGTGAACCAAATGTCCACCAACACAATGTGATCTGTCCAATCGATGAAATTTTTGTTTTTTGAGTCAGAGTCTCATTCTGTCACCCAGGCTGGAGGGCAGTGGCACACTCCCAGCCACTGCAGCCTCGAACTGCTGGGCTCAGATGATCCTTGGAAGCAAGTAACTGGAGCCACAGGTGTATGCCACCACGCTCAGCTAATTTTTTGATTTATTGTAGAGACGAGGTCTCCCCATTATTGTCCAGGCTGAACTCGAACCCCTGGGCTCAGGCAATCCTCTTGCCTCGGCCTCCCAAAGTGCTAGGATCACAGGTGTGAGCCACTGCGTCTGGCCTGATGGAACATTACTCTGCCATGAAAAGGAATGAAGCTCTGGTTACGATGCAGTGCAGATGAGCCTTGGAAACATGAAGTTGAGTGAGAGAAGCCAGACGCAGAGGCCACGTGGTGTGAGTTCGATGAGATGAAATGTCCAGAACAAGCACATCCATAGGGACAGGAAGCAGATTCGAGGTCACCAGGGGCTGGGGGAGGGGAATGGGGAGTGAATGCTCATGGGGAGAGGGTCTCCTTTTGGTGTGAATGAAAATGCTTTGAAATTATATGGAGGTAGTGGTCACACCATACTCCAAGTGCTGCAGAACTGTACTTGTTAAATAGTTAATTTCATGTTATGTGAATTCCACCTTATGAAAAAATTTTTTAAAAAGTTACAAAAACACTGCATCAAAAGACCAGGATCCAGAGTCTGAAGTGACAATTGTGGAGCTCTGGCAGGGGAGGGACACTGAGAGGGGAGAAACCCAGGTCACTCACCATCTTGGAGCCTGCTCCTCGCCCTCAAGGCAGCCGATCTGAACTTGGCCTTCTGATCCCACTGCCAACCCTGCCCTCCTGCAGAGCCTGGAGGAGGGAGGGGCCACAGGTTTTCCCCCAGGAAGATGCCAAGAGCTGCCTGGTGGTGCTGATTCTGAGATGCCAGCAAGTGAAGTAGGTGTCCAGGGAGCGGCTTGTCTGTCTAGAAAGAGAGGTCTGACCATTCAGCAGCCAGCAGATATGCACCATCTAATGCCTTTTGTCCCTCTGCAGTCTCACCTGGTCTAGCCCCCATAGCCGGCACACATGTCACCCACAGCAGCCAGAGTGACCTCTTAAAATAGGAACCGACCTGTTGCTCTCCTGCTTAAGCCCTTCCCATGATTCCTGTCATTTTTTTTTTTAGTGGGGGTCTCACTCTGCCACCCAGGCTGCAGTGCAGTAGCACAATCATGGTTCACTGCAGCCTTGACTTTCTGCACTTAGACGATCCTTCTGCCTCAGCCTCCCGAGTAGCTGGGACTACAGGTGTGTGCCACCACATCTGGCTAAATTTTTTTTTTGTAGAGATGAGGTCTTGCTATGTTGCCCAGGCTGGTCTTGAACTCCTGGGCGGGCTCAAGCAATCATCCCATTTCAGTCTCCCAAAGTGCTGGGATCATAGGCATGAGCCACCATACCTGGCCCTTATCACTTTTTAATTTAATTTACTTTTATCTTTTGTAGAGATAGGGTTTAGCTATGTTGCCCAGGCAGGTCTTGAACTCCTGGGCTCAAGTAATCCTCCTGCTTCAGCTTCCCAAAGTGTTGGGTTTACAGGCATGAGCCACCACACCCAGGAGTCTCACTGTCACCCAGACTGGAGTGCGTGGCCACTCCCAGCCACTGCAGCCTCAACCTGCTGGGCTCTGGCGATCCTTCCACCTCGGCCTTCTGAGTAGCCAGAATTACAGGCATGCGCTACCATGTCCGGCTGATTTTTTTATTTTATTGTAGAGACAAGGTCTCGCCAAGTTGCCCAGGCGGGTCTCGAACCCGCGAGCTCAGGCAAGCCACTCACCTCAGCCTCCCAAAGTATGGGATTACAGGCTGAGCCACCAAGCCCAGCTGCCCCTATCATTTTTAGACTCAAGTCAAACTCCTCCCCATGGCCTATGGGGCCCCTGCCTGCCTCTCCAAGTCCACCTCTTAACCCTCTCCCTCTTGCTCATGCTGTTTCAGCCACACTGGCTTCCTGGCTGTCTTCAAAGGCCAAGTGCAGTTGACCTACACCTGCTGTTCTCTGGCTTGAATGCTCTTCCACTGACTGCCTACTCTTGATCACATCACCTCTGTCAGAGGCCTCATCTGATCCCCCCCATCTCAAGTCACTTCTCCCTGGAGTTTCCATCACATCACTGTGTCTGTTTATCCCTCTTCCCAGCCAGGTCATGCTACACTGTATCCCCAACGCCTAGGACAGTGCCAGGCCCCAATAAGTGCTGAGTGAACAACCAAGATAACTGATTGGGGTTTCATAAGAATCAGTGTGGATGACACGGATACAAAATGAAGGAGCTCTTTAAGCTGGGAGTGGGAGACACCCTCCTTATTTGGAAGAGAGACCTTTTTTGGAGTCGGAGTCTTACTCTGTCACCCAGGCTGGAGTGCAGAGGCATGTTCAAGGCCACTGCAGCCTCGACTTATGGTGCTCAAGCCATCCATCCTTCCGCCTCAGCCTTCCAAGTAGCTGGAACCACAGGCGTATGCCACCATGCCCGGTTAACTTTTTGATTTATTGTAGAAATGAGGTTTCAACAAGTTCCCCAGGCTAGTCTTGAGCCCCTGGGCTCAGGCAATCCTCTCACCTCGGCCTCCCAAAGTGCTGGGATTACAGGCTTGAGCCATAGCACCCGGCCCTAATTTTTTGATTTATTGTAGAGACAAGGTCTCACTAAGTTGCCCAGGCTGGTCTCGAACCCCTGGGCTCAGGCAATCCCCTCACCTCCACCTCCCAAAGTGCTGAGATGACAGCACTGGGCCCAGCTGAGATATTTTTTTTTTCCAGTCAGATGAGTTCACACTTTGTCATCCAGGCTAGAGGGCAGTGGCACAATCACAGCCCACCGCAGTCTTGACCTCCTGTGATCCTCCCACCTCAGTCACCCGGCTAATTTTTAAATTTTTTGTAGAGACGAGGTCTCACTATGTTGCCTAGTCTGGTCTCCAACCCCTGAGCTCCAGCAATCCTCCCGCCTCACCTTCCCAAAGTGTTGTGATTACAGGCGTGAGCCACTGTGCCTGGCCCAAAAATCCGTTTGCCAACAAAACAGTCAAGTGCCTATGAAGGCTGTGGGGTCACAGCTCCCTGGAATGAAATCCCAGCTCCTCTCCTCATCAGCTGGGTGACCTCGGTCGGGGCCTGCGCATCCCTGAACTCTGTTATTTCGTCTCCTGTAAAGAGCGACAGGACTGACTTTCGGGGTGGCTGTGAGTGAAGTCCTTGCACAGAGCGGACACTCCGTGTATGGAAGCTTAAGGGGTGGGGTTGTCTCAAGATGGTTTCATCACCCGTGACCGGCAGACGGGCCGCAGGGTGGGTGTCTAGAAATCCCTGGTATCACGAGTGGCTGTTGACCCCGCTCGTTCTGGGCTCGGATCTCGACTCTGCGGCTTCCCAGCTGCTCGACTTCGGGCAAATTGTTGACTCTGAGCCTCACTTTCCTCGTGCAAAGTGGGGCTCACGTGTTTAGAGCAGCGCCTGACGCCGTTACACGTGGGCCGTCTGGTTTTATTTCTCAAGCCCACCGTTTTACACGCTC